GAAAACTGCAGATGGATATCAAAGATGGATGATGAAAGCAGCAAATAATGGCCCAGCTGCATTTGGTGAACATGGGAGGTTTGATGACAAGGAAAGCAACACAGGTGGAGGGAAAAGCCGTAAAAAATCTGGTGAGGATGACGAAGGTCATGTCTCTGATAAGGGTGAGGAGGATGAAGATGAGGAATCAGACAGGAAGAATAGACTTGGCCTTAATAAAAGAGCTGGTGATGATGATGAAGAAGGTCCAAGGGGAGGGGACCATGATCTGGATGATGACGATGTTGAGAAGGGTGAGTATCTTGCCTTCTTTGTTTATTATGTTTTCTGGTGAAAATGGTGGCAAAGGTTGTCATTTTATTTCTGATTAGTTTTATGCAGTGATGACCTATTTGCTGTGCAATTGCATGTGATAATTAATCAGAATAGACATATGCAACTGCCGAGGTGGGATATGTATCATAAACTTTTGGGGATGAGAAGAAACAATTATGTTTCTGTTAAATCTGATTCAGTTCTTTTGGAGTTCTTACAAATTACGAGGTCCATCTTTTCCGGTGTCTAACTTGATTGCTTCATTGTTGTGACTAGTGTATCTGCTTACTTGCAGGAGAACAATTCTTAGTGACTAAATAAAAAAATAAAAAATAAAAAAAACTGAATGCTTCCATGAATCAAATATATGCTTCATATAATTGAGGCTTATAAGCATTTATTTTGGCCTTGGATTTAGCTGGGAATGGGATTATAGAACTCATTTAGCTTGTCAATACTAGTGCCCATAAGTTTGCTGTGTGTGTGATTTATTAAGAATTGTAAAACATATTGTAGGGAACGTGCATCTTCAATGTGTCTAATAAAGCTGTTTTTATTTTCTAGTATTATGACTCCACTATTAGTACTATTAAAATAAGTTAACAAAGAAAAAAGATTATGAAATTAACACATGAGAACATCTTGTTTTAAAGTTGACTGACACTGACTTGACATCTGCAAACTAGTAAGTAATAGACTGATAGTCATGAGACTTGGCTGTTTCGTGTGAAGAAAGCATCAATTTGCATGTTGCAGCAGATGTGTTTTCCCATGTAAATATCTTAGAAGATCGGTCAATCATGCAGTGTAAACATGAACCATGAATTATATAATGTCAGTGCATAAATTATTCCCAAATTTCAACTTAAAAGCCAATTCTTGATAAGATGGGCAGAACTGCCAGGGTAACCCATGAATTATGTCATTTAGGGTCTAAGTAACAGTGCATTGATTTTATTGCGTGATTAATTAGTTTGACTATTGAGTTGATTGGTCAATATAGTATATACTTATATATTGTCTCATTGGAATCATTTTCAAGTGATTGCAATCTGTTTATTTAATCTTAAATTGGCATGAATCGAATCTTAAAGCATTAGTAGATGATTTTTTTTAAGGCATACATGCATAAGCTAACTGGTTTGTTCTTGTTGAAAAATGAAAATTTTCAGGACACTTAAACAAGTTGATGTTTGTGCTTATTCTTTCATCTGACTCATACATCTGTTACAGGGGATGATTGGGAGCATGAAGAAATTTTCACTGATGACGATGAAGCTGTTGGCAATGATCCTGAAGAGAGGGAGGATCTGGCTCCTGAAGTTCCTGCTCCTCCTGAAATCAAGCAGGTTAGTTTCCATTCCACAAATATTTTAGAGTTGTGACCTAGAAGTTTGATATCTAATAATGCTCTGTTTAGTCATAAGTCATTATATTGTCATTTCCACGTCTTAGCTTCTGCAATTGATATTATATATTTGTTATGGATTTATTTATGGATGTCAAAATTATTGTGATAAAATAGCTACAACATTTTGTTACCCCCCCCCCCCCCCCCCCCCCCCCCCCCCCCCCCCACTCCCCCTAACTTTTTAGCTCAATCTGCACTCAACAACTTAACCATCTTCAATGAAATAATACATGAAGCTTCCTTAACCTGAAGATTGACTTAGCATTGCCAAGAGCTGAGAAGAAGTGAAATTTCCTTCCAAAGGTCAACTCGAGAACCTCCATCTTCCAAAAGCAAGCTTCCAAGCCCAGAGTCTTTCTCTCTAAAACTTCTCTCTAAGTTTAAATTTTCTCCCCCCCCCCCCCCACCCCCCTCTCCTCTCCCCCTTTCTTGTCACTCTCCAGATGCTATATTCTCACTGGTTTTAAATGTTATGAAATAACCTTCACAGAGTGATCTGTTTAGTGATTACAGCATTAAGTTAGAACTTGGCTCATTGCTTATTTGCTTGAGTGCCTTGGTTTCCTTTTCACATGGAAGCATGTTATGCTATATCCTTTGAGCCATGTTCTGATATAGTCATTTTGATTACAGGCATCCTTGATGTATTATATTATGTTCATATGGTGTAAATTGGAGTGGATAAGGACATTTTCATATTTGATTTCTATGCTATTGTGGATCCTAGCATTCTTGTGAATTATTCTTATAATTACAATTGCAGGATGAAGAGGAGGAGGATGAAGATAATGAAGAGGGGGGAGGTCTGAGTAAATCTGGGAAAGAGCTAAAGAAGCTGCTTGGGCGAGCTAGTGGTATGAATGAATCTGATGCAGAGGATGACGATGACGATGATGATGATGTATGAGTTTTGTTCATTCTTTTCTATTTTCACGACACCACTTTCTTTTATTCTTTATAGATGTACTATAATTGTTAATTGTTCTTGGTGCCACCAATAAGCTGAAAAGGATAAACATAGCTCAGTGAAAACTGCAATCCCTTTTGTGGTGAGCTGCAGATAGCTCTTGCATCTGTGACTTCTCCAAAAGGGGAACTGGTTAATTTGTTTAGATTTCATTGGAATTCTTTGGAAAACCTTGCATATGGTTTGAATTTTGAACTAGACTTGAGCATATTTCTTGGATTGTCATTATGATTTACCTAGATGGATGATGAGGTTGGTGTTCCTCCTGTGACTGCTACAAAGCAAAAGGATGCCCTTAAGGAAGAGCCTGTTGACAACAGCCCTTCAAAGCCAACTACAACAGGATCTGCTCGTGGAACACCTTCTTCTGCTTCAAAGTCTTCAAAGGGGAAGAGAAAATCAAACGAAGATGCAAAGCCATCTAATGGTGCAACACCAAAGAAGGTGAAGACAGAAAATGTAAGTTGCTGATTTTCGGATTGCTTGATCATTACAGTTATTGCTTTTCTTTGCCTTTTTCATAAGAATGTTAGCTGCTTGGATAACTTTGATAAATTCAACGTTGAGCAATTGCCTTGGTTTTTAGCTTATGTTGGAAAGCTATTTTATTGCAAAAGCTGATACTGCTTAGTTGGGAAACTTCTTTTTTTTTTTTTTTTGAGAAAATTTGGACAAAAATATCCTAATTTAACTTGAAGCAATTTTTCCATCGATGAATTCAAACACCATATGGATTTTGTTTATAGTTAGGTTTCTAGTAGACTCTTTTATCCAAGAACTTTTTTATGTTTCAAACAGAACTTAATTTTAGAAGCTAATCCAACAGGTTTTACTATATGAACTATCATTGAAATTCTCTGTTATCTTATTAAATCAGGAACCAAAATCATCTGCCAAGGATGTAAATGGATCTGCATCTAAAAGTAGTGCACCTCCAAAAAGTACTCCATCATCATCAAAGCCCGGGTCTTCCACAACTGCTTCTGGACCTGTGAGTGAAGAAGAAATTAGAGCTGTTTTAAGGCAGAAGACTCCAGTGACCACACAGGATCTTGTTGCCAAATTTAAGGCAAGACTAAGATCTTCAGAGGTAAGCGTTACTTTTGCTTTATCTTCAATTAAAATGATGCAATTTAACTAATAATCTTATGATGAATAATTGCCTTGTTTTTTTGGATAGATTATTGGATGCATGAACTATGTATTATGTATGGACAAGAATGCGTATCTGATAACTTTTTTTAGCTTAGGCAACTAACAATATCAAGAATTGAGATAAACAGCGTTTGAAGATAAACCTCAAATCGAGTGGTAGTTTCTAGTTTCTACAATATTACTATAACTAACTGTTAGCTTATCTTACAAAATAAAAAGCCCAACATGGTTTGCTCAAAAGCAAAAACGAATAGGTAGCAGCATCAAGGGAGGAAAAACACCTCATCTCCCCTGCCGTCAACATGGGAATTGTTCCCACTGCTCAGCTTGCCATTTTATATTCTTTCCCTGAATTTTTGAAAACTTTCCTCCCTTTTGTAGTCTTCTCTAATTTGTATATTTTATTTACTTGCATTTTTCGTGTGATCCATTTCCATTGATAGCCGTGACCTGATATCATCACCGGTTCAATTTTTAAATATTTGATTGAAAGTTGAAACTGTTCCTGGTGATTTTTTACTACATGCAGGATAAGCAAGCATTTGCTGAGATCCTTAAGAGAATCTCAAAGATACAGAAGACTAATGGATCCAGTTATGTTATCCTGAGAGATAAGTGACAATGTAGACCCCAAGGATTGGTTCTGACGGAAAATACAGCATTTGACAGTAAAGAAGTTAATCTGCCATGTATATTTTTCAGATTTTGGGCACCATCTTCGAGATTATACTAGAAAGTTAATGCCCATTGAGTGTACGACTCTTGCTTTTAAAACACGTTGAAAATTGGGTTTCATCGGGTTACAAATGAGAGTGAATAAACGGTGTGGAGACGATGTTACACCAGTGCATAGAATAAACGGCCTATATAACCAGTTATTCAGTTGATGACATGGTAGAAGCAAATTATATATAATACTAGTGTAAGTCTATCATTTTGTTTCGTGTTTTGTGTAACTTTTTTTTGGTTGAGTTATGCGCAAATTATTAGGCATGACATTGCTTTATAATTTTTCTGAATTGTGAAATGTACTCGTGCAATTGCATGGCATTTCAAAGTGCAATCGGAAATTAGTTACTGATAGCGCGAAAAGTAGTCAATGTAATTTCAAGAATTAAAATCTTACGCTAAAAACAGTTGTGAGCTGGGAAATTTCACAATCCTCCAAGGTTCCAGATAAATTCATAAAACAATTGAAAAAAAAAAAAAGAGCAAGTATCTTTCTTCTTTTTTGTTAAGAAGCAAATATCTTTCTTAAGCTAAATATTTGCTCTAGATAAAATACATATATGGAGCCAATAATTCTCCTTAGTCCTCATCACACACAGGATTGTGCACAAAACCAACATCATCGACTAAACCGAAAAAAAAAATAAAAAGGCTTGTGTGAGATGTCAATAAGCATGGCCTATGATGATGCAAAATACAAGCGTGAGCATTAACATGGTGTTGTAGCCATAACGGGATGAAGCAGAAGATGGAGTAGTGGGGGCAGGAGCCTCAAGTTTTAGGGTAGGAGAAGAGTAGGTGACGCGTGTTTCCTTGGGTAGAACCTGAACGTGTAGCTTTAGGCCATTTTTGCAGTTCTGGGTATCGCTGCTCACAAAGTACCTGATTCCTTCCCTCTCAAGCGGAACAGTATGCAAACCCTCTGTGTACATCTTGATGGGGTTGCTAACATCACACGTCTCATATTCCTCTTTGCTTTTCAGCTCAGCCACTAGTCCCTCAGCCACAGAGTAGGTGAACCCTGCCCGTTTCGCCACATGCCACAGGCCCACAAAATCCTTGTGTTATTATTTATTAAGATTTAAATACAGAAACACGTCCTAAAGACAAAAAATGAAAACAATGAAAGGCCTCATGAATCATGATACCTAAACATTTTTTTTATAACGGAAATTGTATTTGCACATCATTTTAATATAAATTCCTATAAAACAGAAAAATGTATGATAAGATGAAATGGAGAAAAGTAGATGAGTAAATAATATATACACTAACAATATTTTATATTATTGTTCAATTATAAACTATCATATATTAAGTATTGATTTCTAAAATAATTACATTAAAAATCATATCATGATATTTTTTATTAATGAAATATATGTTTTTTTTATACATTGAAATATATTTTAATAATTATCATAATGCAAAGAATTTTTATGTTGCGATCCAAATATAAATTGTCACCTATAATTATTAAAATAAAAGATACGCAAAGCGACAACCGAGGTCCCACGGCTCCGCCGGTTAAATGGAAGGAAAGAACACAAATCTATGAGAGCTACCTATTCATGTTATGCTCTTTTTTTATTCGTTAATTTTCCAGAAAAATATAAACAACATAATCAATCAACTGCAAGCCCCCAAATCATGTAATAATAGTAAAATAAAAAAGCATAACTCATGATTCTTAATTTTGATGAGAAGGAAGAAAAGAGTGAAAGGGTAAAATAAAAGAGTGGGAAAGCAAAAGAAAACAATGGGCATTTGGTAAAGAAATAGAGAGAAAGAAAGACTTACAAATTTGATCTCCAACCCTAAAGAGTCTCCCCGAAGACCATGAAACGAGGTCGGACGTAGGATCCCAACCACGGTCTCCTCCGACCACATGATGCACCTCCGCAGCAGCCACCCATTTCCCACCAAGGAACATGAACATGAACATCACCACCAAACCAACACTGAAAAAAACCACACCTTTATCCATTCTCATTTTTCTCTGACGCAAGACAAGGTAGTGGTGGATTGGTGATGATGGAAATAGAAAGTGCTTTGTTGTTATAAATGGAATCACTTTCGTGGCGGTTTCCAAACTCACAAGGACTGGTAGTTGTGACTCTCACTCTCTGCAACCAATTTTCAATCGCTTCCTGTGGCTCTCTTTCCATACCAATAAAGTGAATGCCTTCCCACATTTTCACCATTCATGGACCACTTTACCCCTCTTTAAAGGACTCTTCACATTCATTGCCTTTTTATATTTTTTTTTAAACGTTATTTCAGCTATTTTACTTTTATAACATTCTATGGGTAATTTTAATTTTATAAAATGTTGCTTATTATTTTTAGCTTTTTTTAAGTGTGAAATGCTAATGAAAAATTGAGTAAAAATGTTAAATAAATAACTTTATGAATTGAAATTGAAATATTGAGAATGATTATAATATTTTTTAAATTTTTTATAATTTTACCCATTTGACCTTTTAGTTTTTATAATTTATAATAAATATTTTTAATTCTTATAATTATCTTTTTCAATCATTTTTAGTTTTTATAGTTTTAGATATGTTTTATAATTCCTGTATTTACAATTGAATTAATATTTTAATCACATCTAAATAAAAGATACAACATTAAAAAAAAGAGAATTAAAAAAATTACAAATATAAAAATTAAAAAGATTTGTCTAAAATTACATGAAATAAAAATCAAAATAGATAATTATAAAAATTTTATAAAAAATATTTTAAATTATAAGAATTAAAAAGTAAAATAAATGAAATTATAAAAATAAGAAAAAAAATATTTTAACAACGAGAATTATAACATCCAGCTAATACAATCTTAAAAAAATAATTTCAAAAGGCTTTCTCCCAACCCTACTCTATATTGAAGCTTCCTTTCTGTACAAGAAAAGTCCTTGATAAAATGAAATATCATGCAACCAACAATCATCCCAAAAGTTCAAAGAGAAAAAACCGAATAGAATAACAGTTATAACTTGAGATAATTCTATTTCAACTAAATAAAAATATTAATAGATAGCATACTTAAGATTTGTATTTGAAAACACTAATTAAATTAGAACAATTTTTTTATTAGTTGATTCATTCAATAACTTTTATTTATTTGTTTGGATAACTATAGATTAGAAAAATAAATGATTATTTTTTATTGCTTGTTTGAGGAGAAAGAAAAGGGAAAGAAACACAGTTCCTTTTAAATTAAAATGAAATAAGAGAAATGATTTTCTCTTTTTTTTTTTCTATGATATAAGATGTTTTTAAAATGATAAATTTAATGTTAAGAACATAAATAATCAATTAATAAATTATATTTGTAATCAGTATAAATATGTTTATATGATTTATTCCTTTCTTTGGGTTCTCTTTTTTACTCATTCAAACAACGTTCCATTTTTTTTAATTTCCATTTATTCAAATAACATATCCTTTTCAATTCTATTTCTCCACCTTTCTATTGTTTATTTCTTTCTTTCACTATTTTCCTCCAAATTCACATAAAACATAAATGAGAGGTTCCGAGAATTGGCAATTTGGGATAAAACCATAAATTTCAAGCGGATAAAATAAATAGCCTAAAGAGAACACATATCCCAATTCCCAAATGACTTTATTATTTTCTGAACAGTTTGAATGCGCCAAACTTATAAAAATACCGTCGCAGCGGTTTGATTTAAGAAATATTATTTTATTTATATTAATTAAATTTTATGTTATTTTTATGAGATTATTTAAAATATGAAATAATAGGAGTTTACGATAAATTTAAATATGAAATATTTTTAAAAATTTTAGAAGCTAAAATTTAATTGAAATGTTGATACATTTTTTAAGATTCTGTAAAATATGAAAGTAAGATTTAAAGGAAAATTTTGAGACTTGTTTTATTGGGTGAAATTCAATATTTAGGTTAAAAGTAATTAAAATTGATTTAGTAAATAAATATTTGGATTTTTTTTTACATGTTTAAGTAAATAAATGAATGAAAAGATTATATTTGTTTCACTATGTTTGTATAAATTAACCTATTTTAAAAAAACCAAAAATCAATATCAAATTCATTGATATAAACTCCAGGAATTTTGACCGTGTTTCACTAAAAATTTATGCACTATAGACGCAATTTTCTCTTTAATTTATAATAAAAATCTTTCTTCCTCCCCCGGGCCTTCAAAATGGTACGTGTTTTGAGAAAACAACCAACTTTATGAGATGGGCCATTTGGCCCAGCAAAAACATAAGGGTTAGGCCTCATATACACTTTAAGGTGTAAAAAATGGCACCTTTTTTATCATTAAAAAAATTTAAGACAAAAATTAAGATCTTATAAAAGTCACACCTATAGTATTAACCAAAATTAAAAGATTAGGAGATGGAGGATACTCCTCCCACGTTACAACAATTTATCAGAAGATAAATCATATTAAACTAATCAACTACCACAATAATTTTCTCTCAAGGTATAATGAAACAAAAGAAGTCAATGTTTGTTTGAAATTTTTTATTTATCTTATTGATAATATATGCACAAAGGTATCAAGAAGGACAACTATCATAAATTAATTTATAATTCATTGAAGAGTTAATTTTACAAACTATTTTCTTATAACTAATGTTTCAAGCCACTTGTAAGTCATGTAAATTAGTAAGAAGTTTAGCATTCATAATTGAAGCTGATCCACAATTACAAAAAAAATAAATCAATAACCATTTTCCATTTGCGTTATGAATAAGATCTTCAAAATTAAAGATGTCCTGATTATCCATGCAATATATCTTTAAGAAGATGCACTAATTGTTGATTGAGTATAACATAGGACATCACGAGATAATCAAATCTAACTAAGAGTGAATAAAGTGTTTAGATCTTGTCTTAAAAAATCTTCACATTCATTGATCTCTATATGAACCAACAAGCACAAGTAAAAAGAGTGTCATTAAGTAAATGAGCAACATCTTCCTCCTCTAAGCCACACTTAAAATTAAAAAAAAAAGGTAAAAAGAAATGTAACTTCAAGTAGAAAATGTTAGTGAAAAGACTATTTTGAAGGATAAGTCAAGTAAAGTGTTTAATATTTTCTAGAAGTTGAAGTTTCTATATTTAAGCCCCTAGCTCGATGTGAAGGTTGAGTGAATGTGAAACTCTTAAATAAGTCAATTATAGACAAACATAACAGTATAATACTACTTGAATGAGATGATAACCCATATAAAAATGTATTTATTATTACCATCAAAGGTCAAACTTCACATTTTATATTTAACTTGAGAAATAATGTTTGAATATATAGAACCCTAATTTTAAATGCCCTCCACAAAAATATCTCTTATTTGAAGTTAAATATATTTAATGTGCACACGATCAATAGTATCACTCTCATTTGTGTATAAATATATTTTTAAAATTTTTATTATTTTTTATTAACAAAATTATATTATCTCTTGACAAAGACAGTTTTTTAATTATAATTTTAGTCTTTTAAAAAATATATTTTTTTTGTCTCTTATTAAAATAATAACAATAATTATTGATTAGTACCTTAAAAAATCTTCTTTCTTGTGAAAGACATAGAAGAAGAAAAATAAATTTGATACCAAAAACATTTTATAAATAATATAAAAGTTTAAAACTTATATGATTGAAAGTCTTAATATGTGTTTAGATTACATAATTTTTTTAGAAATAATAAATAGATAAAATTATAACGAGTTTACCATAAAAGTAATTATGTATTGTTTTCAAAATTTATGAGTTCAATTCATCACAAATTCAAACACATGATTAAGCGATCATTTTATTTATCCAAACTTTTCACTTTTACTTATACATCTCATTAATGTATCTAATAAATTATAATATAATATTTTCTTTAATTTTTTTAATAATAACTTATAAGATACTTATAACAAACGAGTTAAATACAAGTAATTATTTTAGTTGATTTTATTGATTTAATATATATATATATATATATATATATAATATACTAAATACAATTATGGGTTTTAATTAGTTTTGTTTCCACTATTTATTTAAGAAATTCCTAAATATCAATTTGGTTGAAACACTGGCTA